AGACATTGATTGATGATTTTGGTGCAGAGGAACTTAAATAACCTGCAATCTCAATTCTTGAACAAAATCTACATGTCCCTCACTTCCTGACCTCACAAATGTTTTCTTGGCTCAATTGGCACAAATTCCCACAGGCACACTCCAAAATCGTGTAGAGAGCCTTCCTAGAAAATTGGAACCTGTTATAGCCATAAAGGGGGTCAGCTCCATATTACTCTCCATGTGTTTTCAGTGTGAGGGTGATCTCAAAAATGCTACAACATACAAAGACATTTTAGACAATTTGGACCGAGGCAACAGTTTGGAGAAGGTCCTTTCTGATCCAGCATGACTGGTTTCCTTGTGTACAAAGTCAGCTCTATAAAGACATGGATTGATGATTTTGGTGTGGAGGAATTTAAGTAACCTGCTATCTCAATTCTTGAGCAAAATCTACATGTCCATCACTTCCTGACCTCACAAATGTTTTCTTGGCTGAATGGGCACACATTCCCACAGGCACACTCCAAAATCTTGCAGAAAGCCTTCCTAGAAATGTGGAACCTGTTATAGCCATAAAGGGGGTCAGCACCTTATTACTCTCCATGTGTTGCCAGTGTAAGGTGATCTCAAGAATGCTTCAACATACAAAACATTTTAGACAATTTGGAACTTTCAACTTCGAGGCAACAGTTTGGAGAAGGTCCTTTTTTGATCCAGCAAGACTGGTTTCCCTGTGTACAAAGTCAGCTCTATAATGACATGGATTGATGATTTTGGTGTGGAGGAACTTAAGTAACCTGCAATCTCATTTCTTGAACAAAATCTACATGTCCATCACTTCCTGACCTCACAAATGTTTTCTTGGCTGAATGGGCACAAATTCCCACAGGCACACTCCAAAATCTTGTAGAAAGCCTTCCTAGAAAATTGGAACCTGTTATATCCATAAAGGGATTCAGCTCCATATTACTCTCCATGTGTTTCCAGTGTAGGATGATCTCAAGAATGCTACAACATACAAAGACATTTGGGAACTTTCAACCTTGAGGCAACAGTTTGGAGAAAGTTCTTTTCTGATTCAGCATGACTGGTTTCCTTGTGTACAAAGTCAGCTCTATAAAGACATGGATTGATGATTTTGTGCGGTGGAACTTAAGTAACTTGCTATCTCAATTCTTGAACAAAATCTACATGTCCATCACTTCCTGACCTCACAAATGTTTTCTTGGCTGAAGGGTCACAAATTCCCACAGGCACACTCCAAAATCTTGCAGAAAGCCTTCCTAGAAATGTGGGACCTGTTATAGCCATAAAGGGGGTCAGCTCCATATTACTCTCCGTGGTTTTTTCATGGGATGTCCAACAAGCTCATATACATGTGGTGGTCAGGTGTCCACAAACTACAGGTCATAGAGTGTACTTGCTACATCATATTCCCATTATTTAATTGCATATACAGATTGGTGGATTCTTCATCTAGTAGCCATTTTCAATTTACTCTAATCACTCATTTTCCTGATCAATTAGTGCAAAGAAAAAAAAAATCTCACCGTACGAAGAGAGTAATTTGCTCTATTATTGTGACATGAAGATTTGGCAATATATAGATAAGTTAGTATCTCCATGTGAAAACCAGAGGGCTTCTTGGCATGCATATACAGTACACATGATATATTTAGGTTTTCCATTCCATTTGGTAGTGATGCACTTATCTTCCTAACATTGACAAGACCTTTCCGCATCAATACAAAGCACAATCCTGACTCACATTTCCAAATGTCGACACAACAAATGTCCATACAGAGACAGCCTGCAGATTGAAATGACAATGCTGTCAATATTGTAGCAATGTAAAGCTGTGAACATTGCTATATGTGCCTTTTTCTAACTGATATCATGCCACCATGCTGCAAAATTCTGATGTGCCCTTTTATTGGATTATTTTTTCTGTACTTCATACTGGATCAATATTGCGAGAGAGTTAAAGGGCAGCTTCACTTTCAAATACGACCAAAGGACAGGGCATAATGATACTTAACTCTGGGTTAATAAATATTTGACCCGCGCTTTAAAATTTCTTGTGTATGTCACATTCGTGACTAGCGTACCTTCTTTCATCCTTCCCGGCAGCCCGAAATGCATAGGCTGTGTACACGGGTCTCAACAGATTATTGAATGTAACAAATGGACACCAAGACGCTCCATGATGTTCAAGCCCAAAACAGTATTTTGTTGTGTCTTGGATCCTTCTCACACAAAAAAAAAAACACAAAACAAAAGAAAAAGCAAAAAAGGAATGGAATGGAAACATCCATCAGTTCTAATGCTTTTACTACATCATTGGGTATAGCGCCAGATGTATCATAGATACCAACTATCTTAGGTGTGCTTGGACAGTCCTTCATCTTGGACCCAAGTACTGATGATGTTGTGTCTCAGGCCATGTCCTAGGAACACAATGTAACGGAACCGGATCCCGACTGCACTAGGGTATTTCCGTTAGACTCCCGCTTCCCTGTCCGAACACAGATCCTCGGACACCACTCTTGACACAGACACAAGATATATACATTCAAGGGTACAGTTCTCCCCTCCCTGCATAAGGACACAGAGCGGGGCAAACCGAATCTAGCAACAAGAACACACACCAGCAGACACCCCCCACCAAGCCAATGCACAAACACATACATCCCATAATAGTTTGCTCCCAAGCAAGACATACAATAGAACATTGGGATGCAATTACATAACACCAAACAATCCACAACCCCCACCTATCTCCTATACATGTCTACACAATATCAGGACATTCCACCCTGCACCCCTATGTCACTCAATAAGGCATTCATTATGGTGATTGGTGGCAAAGAGTGGGTGGTCACCCAAAAGGTTTGCGTGGGATGCTCCAGTAAGTGGAAAGGGTCTAGGTGAGATTAACCCAGGGATCAGGACTGATATGTTGGTAAGCATGGTGTACAAGTAGTCACCAAAATGTTATGTTGGAAGAAGCATTGAGTCACATGCTCCCCACAAATGTTCGTCCACCTGTCTCAGCAGCAGAGTTGGGGTGACTATGTGCTGCTGGTTGGGCCGCCATTAGGGTAAAACTGTTGCTTTGCCCTACCAGCTCCCAATAACTCAATACATCCTACTTGATCCTGAAAGTTTCATTCTGAGGACAGTCTTTCCAGCCAAAATGTTCATGTCAGGTTTTCTCTTGGTCCCGCCTATTTATGTAAAACCTGAACGGCTGGTATCCTTTGTGACGGGAGTCACTTTGGGTGGGGGGCCCATGGAACACAGCTCACTTTGGAGAGGTGGGGAGACCCCTGTCTCAGCTCCCCATATCCCTATTATGTGTAAGTCACCCTGTGCCTGTTAAGGGTACAGGGTGATCTGTCCTAATATTGTGTAGACATGTCTAGGAGATAGGTGGGGTGGGGGGTTGTGGATTGTTTGGTGCCATGTGGTTGCATCCCATTGTTCTATTGTTTGTCTGGCTTGGGAGCAAACTATTATGGGATGTATGTGTTTATGTGTATTAGCTCAGTGGGGGGGGTGTCTCCAGCAGCCCTCCCTCCTGATGGGATTGTCTGCTGGCATGAAGTTTGAATACCTGTGTGTCTCTTGTTACTAAATGTAGATTTTCCCGCCCTGTGACATTATGCAGGGGGGGGGGGGTTGTCCCCTGAGTGTTTATATCTTGTATCTGTGTTAAAATAAACTAGTCTACTTTCTGGATTACTTCAAGATTGGTGTCATTTAGTCTTGTATGGTCCGCTGTGGTGCCTGTTGTCGGTGTTCGGACGGGGAAGCGAGAGTCTAACGGAAGTACCCAAGTGCAGTCTGGGGTCGGTTCTGTTACATCCTTTATTTGTCCAGCAGAATATGGCCTACCAATAGGAATGAATGGGGGCTGCTGTACTCATGTGCAGTAAGAAGAGGTTGTTTCCACTGGAAAGGTACCGGGAAAGAGCCACACAGCTAAACATTCTGAGCTGAGGAGGAAAGGTTTTGGTGATTGACAGGAGGTGAGGAGCCAACGTGATGCCTCTTCAACACCTTTTTTGCCAAACATATGGGCTGAAACTGCGTGCATTGCGCACAGTTGTGGGGTGTTTGCAGTGCTTCCCCACAGTGGTGTATTTAGGTTCCGTGCTGAGCTAGGCAACACAAAAATTGCCCCACCCCCCTCCCACAGAGAGACCCTGACACCGACCAACACCCCCCTCCCCCACGAAGAGAGCCTGACATTGACCAACACCCTCCTCCCCGATGAAGATAGCCTGACATTGACCAACAGCACCCCAGAGCCATCCACTACCACCGCCAAGAGATAAGACACTCACCTTCACAGCTCCGGACATTCCCGGGAACAAGAGTCAGGCTTTGCATACACCATCAAACAGCCCCACAGCCTCTCTCAGATCCCACCTGGTCCCCGTGCTGTGTGTGTCCCTTCTTCCTTTCCTTCTTTTGGGGGATGGCGCTGACCCCCTGAAAAAAATGATGCTGCCCCCCTGAAAAATGCCGCCCTAGGCAAATGCCTTGTTTGCCTTGTGGTAAATACACCCCTGCTTCCCCATTCAATTGAATGGGTGGCATTCAGCAGGCTTGCAGCCCGCCAATCATACCATGGGTGGTTTTTGAACATCACGACTGCGGCTTGTGGACACCCCATTTGCTACCTTTGCAGCTAAAGGGGGGAGGAGGGTGGCTGGAGGGCTTTGTAAATATAGCTCAACCACACTTCTAAACTTAGCCTTAGTATTTGAGCTGATGGTCTGTGCTCGGGGGGGTGGGAGGAATTAATTTTGGGCCTCATGCACACTAGTGCAGTGTGATAACTCATGCAAAACCACGCAATATGGTGCAATATTTCATACATGATATGCTTAATAAATGCTTTTCGCACTTGAGATATCAATGGTATCCAGGGGCGGACTGACCATTTGGAAACTCGGGCACTGCCCGAGGGCCCGGGGTCAGTAGGGGGCCCCATGAGATGCCCCTGGTACCTTTTTCATAGGCTTTTTTGAGTTTGGGCAAGGACACAGGGGCCCCATGATCCCCTATTGCCCGGGGGCCCCATGAGTTGTCAGTCCGCCCCTGATGGTATCCCAAACATGCCGAGCAAGCAGTGGGTTCTAATGCATGCAAAAATGTGCAAGAAAGTGTGGTACGTGAATCTCAACAGGTACGTGAGCTTCTTTGCACTCCATTGAAATGAATGGGCGGCCCAACTTGGCATAAACATAGGTCCAGGGGCGGACTGACCATTCGATCACTCGGGCACTGCCTGAGGGCCCAGGATCAGTAAGGGGCCCCATGAAATGCCCCTGGTACTTTTTATAGGCTTTTTTGGGTGTGCTTTGAGTGTGGGCGAGGACACAGGGACCCCATGATCCCCTATTGCCCGGGGGCCCCATGAGTTGTCAGTGCGCCCCTGCATAGGTCTATATCCTTGACAAATATGGAAGAATTTAAAAAAAGGAAAAAAAAGGGGGAAAGACCCCGACGGACCACGTGATCTTTTTTGTGCCGTGAATCTTCTCTGTTTCTATACTTTTAATGGAAGAAAAGTTGGAGAGATGATAGTGAGAGTCAGAAAGCGGCTAATCAGGAGAGGAAACCTCGGGGTGCATTCTATTAATTAACTTCTTCCCATCAACACTGAGATTTCCTTCTAATTACATGGGATCCTTTATTAATTATTTCACCAATGCAGCCGAGATTTAACAATGAATTAGACGCTGAGCTTCCTTACTCTCTTCCAGGAATGTATGACAAGCCGGCACATCAATGCATGGAACCAGCAAACCAGTTTAAAGGGGACTGGTAGATGAAGGAAAGGTTTTCTTTCTTTACGGGAGAGTTCCCAGGTCTGTACACCTGCTGTGCCCATCATGAGGGGTTCCCACCATCCCTGTGCTGAGTTCCCGGGTCTGTACACCTGCTGTGCCCATCATGAGGGGTTTCCCTGTGCTGAGTTCCCTGGTCTGTACACCTGCTGTGCCCATCATGAGGGGTTCCCACCATCCCTGTGCTGAGTTCCCGGGTCTGTACACCTGCTGTGCCCATCATGAGGGGTTCCCACCATCCCTGTGCTGAGTTTCCCGGGTCTGTACACCTGCTGTAACCATTATTACGGGTTCCCCCCATCCCTGTGCTGAGTTTATGGGTCTGCACACCTGTCGTGACTATTATGAGGGGCACCCACCATCCATGCACTGAGTTCCTGCAGCTGAAAACCTGTTGTGTCTATTATAAAGGGTTCCCAGTCCCACTATACCTGAGATGAGTTCCTGGGTTTGCACACCTGCCGTGCCCATTGTGAGGGGTTCCTACCATCTATTTGCCAAGTTCCCAGTTCTGTCCACCTGCTGTACCCATTATTAGGGGTTCCCCCCATCTCTGTGCTGAGTTCCCGGGTCTGTTTCCCTACTGTACCTGTTATGAGGGGTTTCCACCATCCCTGTGCTGAGTTCCTGGGTGTGCACACCTGCTGTTCCCATTATCAGTGTTCCCACCATCTCTGTGCTGAGTTCTCAAGCCTGTACACCTGCTTTGTCTATTATGAGGGGTTCCCACCATCCCTGTGCTGAGTGATCGGGTCTGTACACCCGCTGTGCCCATTATGAGGGGTTCCCACCATCCCTGTGCTGAGTTCCCGGGTCTGTACACCTGCTGTGCCCATTATGAGGGGTTCCCACCATCCCTGTGTTGAGTTCCCAGGTCTGTACACCTGCTGTGCCCATTATGAGGGGGGTTCCCACCATCCCTGTGCTGAGTTCCCGGGTCTGTACACCTCCTGTGCCCAGTATGAGGGGTTCCCACCATCCCTGTGCTGAGTGATGGGGTCTGTGCACCCGCTGTGCCCAGTATGAGGGGTTCCCACCATCCCTGTGCTGAGTGATCGGGTCTGTACACCTGCTGTGCCCATTATGAGGGGTTCCCACCATCCCTGTGCTGAGTTCCCGGGTCTGTACACCTGCTGTGCCCATTATGAGGGGTTCCCACCATCGCTGTGCTGAGTTCCCAGGTCTGTATGTGCCCATTATGAGGGGTTCCCACCATCGCTGTGTGTGTATGTATGTACATGTGTATGTGCGTGTGTATTTCTGTGTATGTACATGTCTGTGTGTGTGTACAGGTGTCTCTGTTTGTTGGTGGCGAGTAACTCTAAGGCCTGGCTAGTAGCTCAGAACTTGAAATTTTAAGCCCTGTCCTAAGACATATTAGAAGTCCGGCTCTGACTCAGCCAACCCGGCTGCACCTGTAACTGATGGTGTTTTTAAGGTCGCAGTCCACTTTTCGTTGGGTAGATCATTGATGCCTGGATGCCCAGTCCACACTTAGCAGCAGCAGTTAAGTTGGCAACAGCTCTAATTTGCCTGCCACCCCCTTGTCCCGGCCCTGCTGGCACACCCCTTGTCCTGCCCTGCTGCTAGCCACCCCTTGTCCCGGCCATGTTGCCCACCCCTTGTCCCACCCCTGCTGGCCACTCCTTGTCCCGCCCCTGCTGCTCACCCCTTGTCCCGCCCCTGCTGCTCAACCCTTGTCCCGGCCTTGCTGCCTACCCCTTGTCCCAGCCCTGCTGGCCACCCCTTGTCCTGCCCCTGCTGCTCACCCCTTGTCCCGGCCTTGCTGGCCACCCCTTGTCCTGCCCCTGCTGCTCACCCCTTGTCCCGGCCCTGCTGGCACCCCCTTGTCCTGCCCCTGCTAGCCACCCCTTGTCCCCGGCCCTGTTGCCCACCCCTTGTCCCCCCCCTGCTGGCCACCCCTTGTCCCGCCCCTGCTGCTCACCCCTTGTCCACCCCTGCTGCTCAACCCTTGTCCCGGCCTTGCTGCCTACCCCTTGTCCCAGCCCTGCTGGCCACCCCTTCTCCTGCCCCTGCTGCTCACCCCTTGTCCCGACCTTGCTGGCCACCCCTTGTCCCGGCACCTGCTGCCCACACCTTGTCCCGGCACCTGCTGCCCACACCTTGTCCCGGCACCTGCTGCCCACACCTTGTCCCGGCACCTGCTGCCCACCCTTGTCCCGGCCCTGCTGCCCACCCCTTGTCCCCCAACCTTCTGCCCACCCCTTGTCCCGGCCCTGCTGCCCACCCCTTGTCCCGGCCCTGCTGCCCACCCCTTGTCCCGGCACCTGCTGCCCACCCCTTGTCCCAACCCTTCTGCCCACCCCTTGTCCTGGCCCTGCTGCCACTCCCTTGTCCCACCCCTGCTGCCCACCCCTTGTCCCGGCCCTGCAGGCACCTATCAGCAACAATACAGTCTCAGTACTAAGATCACACGGGTGCAATTTTCTAGTTCTGAAAAAAACATTGAGACCAGGTTCACACTAATGCGATGTGGGAAATGTTGCGAATCCTGTGCATTTCTCAAATCGCATTACAATCGCATGCGGGTGTCAATGCTGAATTAATGACAGATAGAAAAACGCAATGTGATAGTCAGAAATCGCATGGCATGGGTGAGAACACCCATGTGATGCGATTCAAGTGCGGGTAAAAAAAAGAATCCTGCAGATGCAATGCGTTTTGAGCCATACATTGTGTTCCATCGCACAGACATTGCATATGCGAATTACATGGGGTGTCCCGCACCACATTAGTGTGAACCCGGGCTTAAGGCTCTCTTAGCACAGACACAGAAGGATCATCTACAGACTGTGATTGTAAAGGGGGTCAAGCTTGTTGCATGATACTTATACGCAGGGCCGGTGCTTACACTAGGCAAACTAGGTGGCCGCCTAGGGCGCACTGCAACCTAGGGGTGCGTAAGGCCGACACTCTCTTTGTCATGAATGATCCTCCAGCTGAGGGGAAGGGGGGGGGGGGCAAAGGGGAGGAAGAAAGGACAGAGGAAGATGCCGGGTGTCTGGGGCCAGTGTAGCAGCTGAGCTGCCCCCCCTTCCAGTGTTCCTCTCAGACTCCGTCCCTTAATGCAAGCCTGCTGGCTGCTGCTGATCACTGTGGAGTTCCAGCCTTTCTCGTACCATTCATTAGTGGAGGCGGATCTGCACCTGCGGAGGAAGGTAATGCCTGACGCTGATGTCTCGTGTCTGTGTGAGTGTGACCCAGCTGGCCGGCCAGCCATCCATCACATGTGCAATGTGTCAGTGAGTGATGACATCATCATCATCATTACAACAGCCTGCTCTTCTAGTACCTGCTGGTCCCGCTGATCTGTGTCAATGTTGATGGTGTGTTGTGTCGGATCTGTCATTGTGTGTGGGATCGCTCAGTTCAGCTGCCTGCTGTCACAGCGTTTTACCTCCCCCCGTTGCCTGGGGAATTCCAGCCTGCGATCTGTCAGAGTGCGGATCCTTCATGTTTTACCTCCCCCCATTGCCTGGGGAATTCCAGCCTGGGATCTGTCAGAGTGTGGATCCATCATGTTTTACCTCTCCTCATTGCCTGGGGAATTCCAGCCTGGGATCTGTCAGAGTGCAGATCCATCATGTTTTACCTCCCCCCATTGCCTGGGGAATTCCAGCCTGGGATCTGTCAGAGTGCGGATCCATCAGGTTTTACCTCCCCCCATTGCCTGGGGAATTCCAGCCTGGGATCTGTCAGACTGTGGATCCATCATCCTCCACTCACTGCCACTGTCACCCTGCCACTGCCAGCCACAGATACAGTCCATCCGTGACACTGACCTTGTCTTTAATATTGGTTCTGGTGGCATCTTATGGCACTTATTTTTGCAAATGAAAAGACATTTAGCAGTTTCATGTTTTGTTGATTTAATATTTTTTACTGTTTTTAAAGTTTTTTTATTTGTTCATTTATTTATTTATTTGGGGGGGGGCAAGTAGCTGGTCTTGCCTTGGGCGCAAAATAGTCTGGCGCCAGCCCTGCTTATACACATCCACATCTCAGCCCATCTATAGCCTCCATTTAACCCCACCACAAAAAAAAAAAAGAAAACAAAATTTAGCAGCGAAGCCACAAACCAAGCTGGTATTTGGTAACTCGTGGCAAAACTTTTTTTTTTTTTTTTAAGGGTGAATTTACCACAGAAAGTGACATTTTGCGGCTCCATACATAATGGTTGAGTTTCATAAACATACATCTACCTGCTCCGTACAATTTAAACAGGGCCAAATCCTTTTAAACCGGAGACGTTAGATTAATTGAATCCGGTCTTTTATATGGTTTCCTCTCCAGGCAAAAGGTCTTAAAATCTGCCAAGCATGCAGAATGTCTTTTCATTTCTATCTATAAAATTCGAGCTGATGCTCCTTTTAAAAGGGACGACTGAGGCCTCACAGCTATTTTCAGAGGCTCCGTTTGTCTTTTTTTTTTTTTTTTTCCATGAAACTAAATATGATCCGAGAGTGAATTATTTCACATTTACAAATTTCCCTTTTGCTGTTTGTTTGATCTCATTAGTTTTGCTAATATGCGCTTTGTTAGTCAAACTACAGGCCCTTCGCTATGCCTATGGATCTCCAAAGGTAAACTAGAAATGTTTTTTTTTTCGTCATATGTTTTTACCCCTCGCCTACAGGGCACTTCTACCCCCTTCCTGCCTACAGGGCACTTCTACCCCCTTCCTGCATACCGGGCACCTACCCCCCTTCCTGCCTACAGGGCACTACAGGGCACTTCTACCCCCTTCCTGCCTACAGGGCACTTCTACCCCCTTCCTCCTGCTTCTACCCCCTTCCTGCCTAGGGCACTTCTACCCCCTTCCCGCCTACCGGGCACTTCTACCCCTTCCGCCTACAGGGCACTTCTACCCCCTTCCTGCCTACAGGGCACTTCTACCCCCTTCCTGCCTACAGGGCACTTCTACCCCCTTCCCGCCTACCGGGCACTTCTACCCCCTTCCTGCCTACAGGACACTTCTACCCCCTTCCTGCCTACAGGGCACTTCTACCCCCTTCCTGCCTACAGGGCACTTCTACCCCCTTCCTGCCTACAGGGCACTTCTACCCCCTTCCTGCCTACAGGGCACTTCTACCCCCTTCCTGCCTACAGGACACTTCTACCCCCTTCCTGCCTACCGGGCACTTCTACCCCCTTCCTGCCTACCGGACACTTCTACCCCCTTCCAGGGACACTTCTACCCCCTTCCTGCCTACCGGACACTTCTACCCCCTTCCTGCCAGGGACACTTCTACCCCCTTCCTGCCTACAGGGCACTTCTACCCCCTTCCTGCCTACAGGGCACTTCTACCCCCTTCCTGCCTACAGGGCACTTCTACCCCCTTCCTGCCTACAGGGCACTTCTACCCCCTTCCTGCCTACAGGACACTTCTACCCCCTTCCTGCCTACAGGACACTTCTACCCCCTTCCTGCCTACAGGGCACTTCTACCCCCTTCCTGCCTACGGGCACTTCTACCCCCTTCCTGCCTACGGGCACTTCTACCCCCTTCCTGCCTACAGGGCACTTCTACCCCCTTCCTGCCTACAGGGCACTTCTACCCCCTTCTTCTTGCCCAGGCCAATTTCCAGCTTTCAGCGCTGTTGCACTTTGAATGACAATTGCGCGGTCATGCAACACTGTACCCATATGACATTTTTAGCATTTTTTTGTGACAAATAGATCTTTATTTTGGTGGTATTTAATCACCTCGGGGATTTTTATTTTTTCTTAAAAACAAACCAAAAACCACTGAAAATTTTGGAAAAAAAAGTTTTTTCTTAGTTTTTGGTATAAAATTTTGTAAATAAGTGATTTTTCTCCTTCACTGATGTGCGCTAATGAGGCTGCAGTGGTGGGCACTGATAGCCTGCACTGATGGACACTGGTAGGTGGCACTGATGGGCATTGACAGGCATCACTGATGGGCACTGAAAGGCAGCACTGATACATGGCACTGATATATGGCATGATGGCACTGATAGGCGGCACTGACTGCACTGATAGGCGGCACTGACTGGCACTGATAGGCGGCACTGACTGGCACTGATAGGCGGCACTGACTGGCACTGATAGGTGGCACTGACTGGCACTGATAGGCTGCACTGACATGGCACTGATTGGTGGCACTGATGCGCACTGATAGGCAGCACTGACTGGCACTGATAGGCGGCACTGACTGGCACTGATTGGTGGCACTGATTGGCAGCATTGATAGGTGCCACTGATTGGCATTGATAGGTGGCACTGGCTGGCACTGATGGGTGACACGGAAAGGCAAGAGGCAATGATATGTGGCATTGATGTACACTGGTGGGCACTGATATGTGGCATTGATGTGGCTCTGGCACGAAGCACTGATGAGCACTGACACAAGGCACTGATGGACACTGACAGGTGGCACTGCTGGGGCTACACTGATCATCAGGGCACACTGATCATCAGTGCCCTGATGATCAGTGTACATGTCCCCTCCGCGGAAAGCCTGATTACCGGCTCTCCTCTCCTCTGTCAGCGTGACAGCTCGAGAGGAGAGAAATGCCGATAACCGGCATTTCCGTGTTTACATGTGATCAGCTGTGATTGGACACAGCTGATCACATGACCGAGTCGACATCTTCGGCTCTTTCCATGATCGGTGATCCTCTGTGTCCGAGGGACACAGCGCACCCACCGATCGATCGCCGTGCTGCACGCTCCCTCAGCCGCGCATGCGCGGTGAGAATGGGAGGACGTTATATGACATCCTCCCAGAACAAGAGAACCACCTTGCGCCCGTCATTGGACTATATGGCGGATGGGAGGTGGTTAAACTGATACTTTATGTTTTTTTTATATTTTACACTATCTATCTATCTATATATATATCTATCTATCTATATATATATATATATACACCCTGTTCCAAATTATTATGCAAATTCTATTTAAGTGTCACAAAGATGAAATATTTTGTTTTTTCAGTGTAAATCATGGATGGCATTGTGTGTCAGGGCTCTTTTGATCACTGAAAACAATCTCGGACACCTGTGATAATTAGATTGGCCGGTGAGCCCAAGTTAAGGAAAAACTACTAAAGGAGGGTGTTCCACATTATTAAGCAGAGCACCATTTTCCATCAATATGGGGAAGAAAAAGGATCTCTCTGCTGCCGAAAAGAGTGAAATAGTTCGATGCCTTGGACGAGGTATGAAAACATTTGATATTTCACAAAAACGTAAGCGTGATCATCGCACTATGAAGAGATTTGCGGCTGATTCAGAGCACAGACGGGTTGGTGCAGATAAAGGCACATTGAGGAAGATTTCTGCCAGATCCATGCATCGGATCCAGAGAGCAGCTGCTAAAATCCCATTACATAGCAGCAAACAGATATTGAAGCTGCTGGTGCCTCTGGAGTCCCACGGACATCAAGGTGTAGAGTCCTCCAGAGTCTTGCAACTGTGCATAAACCTTCTATTCGGCCACCACTAACCAATGGTCACAGGCAGAAACGGCTGCATTGGGCAGAAAAATACATGAAGACTAATTTTCAAACAGTCCTGTTCACTGATGAGTGCCGTGCAACCCTGGATGGTCCAGATGGATAGTGTAGTGGATGGTTGGTGGACAGCCACCCTGTTCCAACAAGGCTGTGACGTCAGCAAGGCGGTGGTGGAGTCATGTTTTGGGCCGGAATCATGGGAACAGAGCTGGTCGGCCCCTTAAGGGTCCCCGAAGGTGTAAAGATGACCTCTGCAAAGTATGTGGAGTTTATGACTGACCACTTTCTTCCCTGGTACAGAAGGAAGAACTATGCTTTCCGTAATAGAATCATCTTCATGCATGACAATGCACCATCTCATGCTGCAATAATAGATTTCCAAGCAGCCAGCATTAAAAGACCCCTCCAGGGATATTAGATCCAGCTTGCAACAATAGAACCACTGTGACAAAATATACCCCCAGCAACAATAGACCCTGCCAGAAACAATAGATTTCTGAGCAGCCAGCATTGATAGACCCCTCCAGTGATAATAGGCCCCCCCCAGCAACAATAGAACCCCTGCAACAAAATACCCCTACAGCAACAATAGACCCTGCCAGAAACAAAAGATTTCCGAGAAGTCAACATTGATAGACCCCACCAGTGATAATAGATCCAGCCTGCAACAATAGAACCACTGTGACAAAATATACCCCCAGCAACAACAGCAACAACAGACCGTGCCAGAAACAACATATTTCTGAGCAGCCAGCAACAATGGATCCCTCCGCTCCTGCTACTGAGCAGGCTCCAACACTTTTAAGGGTATCACAGCCCCTTTACAACCTCCTGTTGGGGATTGGCTAGGATCCCTCAAGAGTGTAGCCAGCCACTCCTCAGATCCACCCACTGCCTCCAGGGCCTTCCTCCAAAGCCTTAGAGCAGGGGGAAATTCCAAAGGGGCTGGCCTGCAGAACCTCTCAGCTCCTGACCAAGGTTTTACCTTCTGGCTATGTGGGTGGATCTGAGGAGTGGCTGGCTGCACTTTTGAGGGATCCTAGCCAATCCCCAACAGGAGTTTGGAAATGGGCTGGATTACCCTTAAAAGTGTTGGAGCTTGCTGAGTAGCAGGAGAGTTCGGGTGGAAGATAGAGAGGAAGATGTGAGGCTAACAGAAGGAGCCTGTGAGGGGGTCTAGTGGGATGGGGCCTTTTTGCTGGCCTGGAGCAGGAAAAGAGGAAATCTCAGAGCTCACGGCCCCCTGACAGGACCACCTGAATGGCAGGGAAGGAGCAACCCAGCTGACAGGCCTGGTAGCAGCCACCCACCCACCAGTGGTACAGGAGAGGATCTGAGTGAGTACCCCTGCACCCTCTGGATGGATAGGGGAAGAAGCACTCTGGTGGGAAACCAGATTAGCCCCCTACCAGTGACAGTTAATCTTTTAAAGTAGGGGTGTCCAAACTATGGCCCTCCAGGGGTTGAGGAACTGCAAGTCCCATGAGGCCTTGACATCCACAGGCAAGACACCCAGAGGAAGAGGCATGATGGGACTTGTAGTACTTCAACAGCTGGAGGGCCATAGTTTGGACACCCCTGTCTTAAAGTGACAGGAACCATATCCCCTGTTCAGGGATACCTCCAGGTTTCTGGGTGAAGAAAAGAAGATCATCTAGGGTCTGGGGTGGTACACTAAGTAGATGTTGGCTAGCACTCCAACCAAGACGGTGCTGCAGCGAAGGCTTGTAAATCGTTCCTGGAAGTTGTCCTCAGTTCATCAGGTCCCTTGGGCATCCAGTACACCCCTAACCCCATCCCAGTTCAAACCCCCACAAGAACCGGTTTCTGACTCTGGATGCAAGCCTGTGTGAAGATGTGTGATATCTGGCTGTGCAGGACTATAGGGGGACCCAAATCTTCTAGCGACTCCTAAGGGGGTAGTGCTACAGGTATGTTTTCTGCCCGTTCCCACATGTCACGTGTAGGGCAGCCTATTTATTTCAATGGCTACCCTATGTACAGTAAACATGGAAAAGAAATCCCTGACTCTTTTTCCAAAAATGACAGCATGCGCTTTTACAAACACATGGGGCAACCATTAATAATTAACGACAACACCGCAGGTCCTCAAAAGGGCAACGCGTTTCTGTCCATGAAAGTAAATCGATCGTTTTTTCCCATCCATGCTGAAAGCGCGAATGGAGAATTCTTCACTGCCAGCTATGGCATTCAGGCAGCTATGGAACAGGGCCTACATCTTTTTGGCCGGTAGTTTTCCACCCCGCTCTATCGACTTTTTTAAGTTGATATTTGTCAAGCCACATAGAAAACTCTGCAGAGCTCTGTGAGAGCTGATTGGAGGGAAGGGACACCCCCTTTCGAACATGCACGAAGGAACAGAGATGAGGCTGCCTATCAATCACAGGCTGTGTGCTGGAGCTCCCTCCCCTGTCACCTTCTTACCTCTTGGTGTCAGGAAAACTTGTTAGAAGTGACTCATGCTGATGCAGAGGAAGGAGGCAGCAGACAGAAATGACGCTTAGTGCTCTGGACTGAGACAAGTACACACTATAGAGGGTTGTGCTTTGTTCATATTTCATGTCTGAGGTTTACAACCACTTTAAGCTTTAGTCCTCACGCACACGGGACATTTTTACAGCGGCTGTTTTTGGCTTTTGGCATTTTTTTCTACATCCAGTAAACCCCCCAGCATGTTATCCTAGGTGTCCATGCATACACAGGCTTTAACCCCTTCACGCCTAAGGGTAACACAAATGTTAACGCCTAAGCACAATTTTGCAATGTTGACATGTGTTAGTAAAACCGAACATATCATCACAACTACTTTGTACATCCAGGTGGATTATACCTTTTTTTTTTTTTTACCATTTTTATACCGGTTTTTTTTTCAGGACAATTTGGGCTTTCATTTGGTGGTAAATGGTAATAAATATCTCCTGATTTTTTTTTTTTTATTATCAAAGGAAAACTGGCCCAAAATAGTAAACAAAATATATATTTTTTTATTTAGCTGTGTGTTTCTTGTTACTACCATAACCTACCACCAAAGAACAACCCAAAATAAATTCTCCAGCTCCTGACGATCGCAGCGATACCATATATGTGCATGTTATTTGTTGTTTGTACCTGTAGTACAGCCCAGAAACAATAGTGCGCATTTTGCTTTTTTTTTTTTTTTTTTACCTAAAACACACTGACATTGATATCAATAATAAAAAAAAAACCTGACCTTTGACCCTGATCTTGACCCAAACACTAACGCTGGCACGGGAACTAGATCAAACCTTGATCTAGGTATTTTTTCTATATTTTTAATATGTATGTATTTATTTATTTATCTTTTTTTTTACAAACATTTGTTTGTTTGTTTTTTTCTCTATGCAAGTAGAGAGAGAGAGATACACTGCATCCCTCTCCTCTATTCAGAGAGAAAAAAAAAAAAAAATAAGGGGCGGGCTTCACGGTGACTGATCACTGTTAAAATAACATTTTTTATATATATGTTAAAACAATCTGAAGAATATATTTAAAAAAATATATATATTTTTAAAAATATTTTTCATATATATTTTGTAATATATAAAAAAATGCATTTCAAAATACAGTATATATATATATATGTATATACTGTCCAGTCTATAATGAGAGATGAGCTGATTCTCCTTTCACTGTCCATATATTTTTTTTCTATTTTTTTTTCTATTTTTATTTTTTAATATGTATGTATTTATTTTTTTTTTTTTTTTTTACAAACATTTTTTTTTTCTCTCTATGGAAGGAGAGAGAGATACAATGTATCTCTCTCCTCCATTCAGAGAGAGAAAAAAATAAGGGGTGGGCTTCACGGTGACTGATCACTGTTAAAATAACTTTTTTATATATGTTAAAACAATCTGAAGAATATATTTAAAAAAAATATATATTTTTTAAAAAAATACTTTTTATATATTTTGTAATATATAAAAAATGCATTTTCAACATACAGTATATATATATATATATATATGTATATACTGTCCAGTCTATAATGAGAGATGAGCTGATTCTCCTTTCACTGTCCATATATTTTTTTTCTATATTTTTTTTTTCTATTTTATTTTTTTAATATGTATGTATTTATTTTTTTATTTTTTACAAACATTTTTTTTTTTTCTCTCTATGGAAGGAGAGAGAG